TCATATGATCCGATATATCGATATATTTTTTTATTTTTCCATCCCTACCCATGACATTCATCATCCCAATATAGTTTATTCATAGACTAATATATATAGGGGGTAAATAGACTGGACTCTCCAATGTTGGAATATCATGTCGTATTTTGGCGCCCTCTGCCGACTGAGAGTGAACTATAAATACCAATTCGGTTATTCTCCGAAAGGTGGCACTTTGTTGTTGATAGTTCACTGTAATTTTTACAGTAACTCCACAACCCTCTCCAAACAGTGGCGACAATGGAGGTCCCACCGCCATATTCTTGCAAATTTTTGTTATGAATAATAAATATAAATGAATATCCCCTCGGATATCCATATCTATCATAAAAAATTAAAAATAACGTCTTTAAATTTTAGTCAAAGAAATACCACAGAAATACGTTACCTTCAAATTTTGATGATAGATATCCATTTATATCGAATAATTCCTATACAGTGTGATTTTTGAAGTGTGCAACATATGGGGATTTTTTTTAATAATAGCACAACCCAAATACAAACAAGGCCAAAAGTTGGTGAATGTCTGATAATCATATTAGCTGCACTTAGAATGGTTGTAAGTCGAACAGCATACAGGGTAGCTCAAACAATATCAAAGCTGTACTGTAAAGTACCCTTATTTTAGAAAATTTAGCAAAATGTTATAGAGAAAAGTTGTTTAGAATTAAAAGTTATGCCTAAATACCAAAACATAGCCTCCTAAGATTTTTTTTATTTTCTTTCGAAATAAATCTATAATTTCTATATTTTTTTTATTTTTTATTTCCGCCCGTAATACTTTCAAAAATTAATTAAAATCAAATCAATTTTAGATAACTTTGTTCAAATTGAAGCATATTTGTAAAATTAACTTAGATTTTTAATTTTTTATGGAATCACAAAATTCATGTTTGTTGCAATGATATTCAACACAACTTTAAAATGTCGCAATTTTTTTTTTAACAAGTTAAAACATTACTAATGATAATAGCCATATTAAAAAAACTCTCCTGAAAGTGCAAAAGTTTTATTTTATTTAAGTAAATATTAGCAGAATTTTGATATTTTTTGAGCCACCCTGTATGCTGTTTGACTTGCAACCATTCTAAGTACACCTAATATGGTTATCAGACATGCACCAACTTTTGGCCTTGTTTGTGTTTTGATTGTGCTATTACTAAAAAAAAATCCCATATGTTGCACACTTAAGTAATGACACTGTATATTCATATTCAAAATTTCAAAAATATGACGGCGGAGCCTCTATTCATCGTCGTCACTGTTTGCAGAGGTTGGTCGAGTACCTAGTTTTTCACAAGAATAAATACAATCAAAAGACAATTTTAATTTAAATTTTGAAATGTCGGATGAACGAAAAGACCAAATAACAATGACATTTCCGAGGACATTTCCGATGAAGGATTCGGTATTTGTTTCATTTTCACTTTCATAACCTCAGTTTTATAAGACCAGCAGAGCCATCAGCGTTCACGAGTGAACTAAAAAGGCTGGCTCAAAGAGGTAATATGAGTGCGCGGACCATGAGTTTATTACTTGATGTCTATATTAATGTCCCTAGTAAATATTTCAATATTGAGGCTGGTTAAGGATTCTAGGTAAGCATGTAAGTCATTCACAAAATCTACTTTTGAGATAGGTGGTGGTTTGTAAGTTGTTGTCAGTGACAAAATATTTCTAAGAATATAGAACCTATCCTATAAGTCAGAGATCTAATTTTTTTTAGTCAGATATTCAGCATGAGCATTCCACTTCAAGTAACAGTCAATCATAACCCCAAGGTATTTAATGTGAGTGTCCTCTTCAATTTTCTCGTTTACGACTATTTCTATTTGGTTAAAAAGAGGGCGATTCAAATCAACTTTAGTAAGAGCCAAATAATTTGTTTTTTTAACATTAAGGGATAATCGAGGGGATAATTTGTGTATATTAAGCCATCTTTTAATTTTTATAAGGCCATTTGTTGCATTTATTCTAGCATCCTAATCTCAACTATTTAACTAAAATGTTAATTCTTAGCTCAAGTGCTAATTTTTTTTTTATAAACCCATTTTATAATCCCACCATACATGTGTACCGGGTGTTTGTTTTTAACTGGAACACTCAGTAACTTTCTTATACAGTGTGCGCCATAAAGTTGGGTACATATGGGGAAATTCTCAATTATTCCTTTTTTCAAAAAACTTTTTTCTACTACCGTGCGTAAAGTACTCATTTTACGCGCTATTCAGAAGACGTAAAATTTCACTTTACATTCTAGTGCGTAAAGTAATGTCAATGACAGATGTCGACACTGTCAATTTGGCATTTTTCTGGTAAATCACTTCACACACCAGTGCGTAAAGTATTTGACTAAATTTATTTTTTTACACATATTTGATTGGTAGTAGAAAAAATTTTGTATGCAATACGTGCGTAAAGCACCTTCTTTCACTTATGTGATTGTCGCACTCGCCTTCGGCTCGTGCGTCAAAATTCACATTCGTGAAAAAAGGTTCACTTTACACACTTGTTGCATAAATAACTATTTTTGGAGATCGTTAGGGCATGTTCGATAACCAAAAAATCGATTATGACACATGTCATGCGATTTTCGGTTTAGCGGGAATTTTGAAAAAAGTTGATATTGATGTCGCAAAACAGGTAAATTTGGCAAGATTTCAAAAAATTTTATAAGAAAAAGTTGTTCAGAATCGAAAAAGAACCCCACATACCGATTTTGAAGCAAATCAGAGAAAAAAAATAAAACCACTTATTTTACCCATACCATTAAATCGAAAAACGAAAATATCAATTTAATTTCAAAAATGGCTTTATTCAACTAGACTAAGGTCCGTTTCACCAGGGTTCATACTTTTGACATCGAACACGCCATAATTTGGAAAAAAAGGGTTGTCGTAAATTAATTCATATGACACATTCAATTTTTTTGACAAATTAAAATGAATGACTTCTGGTTTAAGAACCAACAAACGTTTTTGACGTCATTGATTTGTTTCAGTCAATTTCCATCTGTTAAAAAAGGAAGGCAAAAAGTATGAACCCTCGTGAAACAATGTTTACATAAGTTTGATATTAAACGAATCGATTGTTTTGCGAAATACACACTTGAAGGTCATAAATTAGAAAATACCGTCCAGTCGTGTCGTTATAACTGTACCCATGTCCCTTTTTGCACATTTTCTGGTCATCAGAAAAATAACATGACGTGTGTCATAATCGATTTTTTAGTTATCGAACATGCCCTAACGATCCCCAAAAAAAGTTTTTTGAAAAAAGGAATAATTAAGAATTTTCCCATATGTACCCAACTGTATGGCGCACACTGTATTATTGAAAATAAAGGGCATGTTTAAGCTGGGAAATTTCTTGGTAAATTGCAACCTTAAGCGCTACAACGATATTTTTTTGTCGTCATAGGTTTACAGAGTGCGCCAAAAAGGTATTATTTTTAAATGGAATGCCCTGTATATTTTTGTTATCCAAATAATATTTGATATGTTTGTGAAGCTAACTTTCTAAGGATTTCAAAAATGCAAAAATATAGGTACAGGGCGTTCCATTTGAAAAAATGACTTTTTTGGCGCACCCTGTATACTTATGGCTACAAAAAAATCTCATTGTAGCGATTAAGATCATTGCAATTTACCAAGAAATTTTCCAATTTAAACGTGCCCTCTATTCTCAAAAATAAAAAAGTTATTGAGTGTTCCAGTTATAAACAAACACCCTGTACAACCACAGTTTGTAGAACCCTATTTTCCATTTTATTGAAATCAAATCATAAGTTCTTTTTGAACCAAAGAAAAATAAATGTTTTTTAAATATTTTCCAAAATAATGTACTCAATTATTTTTGATTATAAATAAGTGTGTGCCCACCAGAAAAAATTGACAGTCATCTATACTGGAATGGTTAATGGTTCATTAGGTACAAAAATACAAGGTTCATTTCTCGGTTCATTTACATTTACAGATGGTTCCAAATCCAACTAATCTTGTTTGCATAATTTGTAATGGTTTTAGGTGTGATAATTATTATGCTCGTAATTATGTATAACAAGCATACTGAAATGCAATATCTGGTATTTTTCATTTTAAAATACCATTGCTCTGCTCAACTAACATGGACATGAGTTCTTTCAACCAAAACCACAGAACACCAAAACAATATATAGGTGGGTTTACACAGCCACATAACATAACATAAGAAATAACATAACATAAGATAAAAAGTTGACCTTATGGAAACCCCTTATGGCGTTTATACAGAAAATAACATACATAACATAACATAACATAAGAAATAAGAAAGTTGGTTAACTTTTAACTTTTATGTCTTATTTTATGTGAAAACGGATCTGCGCATGCTCCTCCCTTGATTTCGGCAATCGCAGAGTAGTAAACAAAACATTCCAACCAAAAAAAAAAAAATTTTGATTCTGTTTTCAGCTATTGGTAATTTTTTGGAATTCGATATTTATTTTCTGTTTCTGCTAAATTAATAATTAATAATTTTTTTGATCAAATATAGTGTTTTCGGTAGAGTTTACATAAGTACACATACCAGCTGATTGGTTAGAAATTTATTTCTTATGTTATGTTATTTTCTGTATAAACGCCACAAAATTCTTATTTCTTATATTATGTTATGTCTTATTTTATCTTATTTCTTATGTTATGTTATGTGCTGTATAAACCCACCTTAATGACAATACTAGATTGTTGCTTTTCTAATGCTTATTTATAAAGCATAATCTTGAGCTATTGCTGTCTTTCACTTGGTTCACAAAATGTATTTACAACCAACAACTAACAATTAGCAGAATATTTGAGAGTGCAAAGATGTCAATGATGCCATGCTTGAATTGTGAGCAGCACATATAAAAAAACCGAGAAAAAAACCTTAGACAAAAAAACCAATATATTTATTAGCAAGCAAAAACTTAAAAAGTAGCTTACAGCTTAATCGAAACCATCCTCCAATACTATCAGGAATGGGAAGGTTGCCCAGATAATCAGGAATAGTAACTTTAACTAGATGCGCAATAGGCTGCATTTTCAATTGCCAAATAAATACAGAATACGATTAAACTTTGCACTAAAAATAGTTTTGTAACGGCAGTTTTATATATTTTTTTGAAAAAATGAAACTTGGCACACAAAATATACGTGAAAATTATTTTGGAAGGAGAAAGTGAAAAATCACGTTAAATTTTCTAACCTTAAAATTTTTTTATAAATGTTGCCTTGAATGTCAAATGTCATTTCAATAGTCCTTTTCACGTGGCTCCGGTTTAAACTAACCGGGTTACCAAACGGTGAGTAGCGGTATGTCAAGTGATGACGTTATTGAAAATGTCACTTGAAAACGAACGGTTAGAAAAATGTTATTTCAAATTACGCAATCCAACGACCTGTCGAATAATAGGATGATGTACCCTCTAGTAACTGCACTAAAATTTTCAAGTGTATCTTGAAATAAAATGCCCCTATCACTTATTTGAGCTTTATTGCTTTCGTTTTCGTTTTTCGAGTCGATTGAGTAGGAAGTCGGCGATTCGGCACGTTCAATATGACGTCATGGGTTTCAGGCGAAAGCGTTTGTGTTCATGAAATCATGGAAGTAGTTCGTCGCGAAAATTCGGTTAATGACAAAGGGTTATTATTACTCGCATTTAGCAAGCAAGAGCTGACGGTAGGATTAGGGATTCTAAAGTAATAAAACACTTTTGCAGTAGGCGCTCGATCAACTGACGAAAAATAAGGACCTACCAGTAGGCGCACAATCGGTGGATGAAAAAGGACCTCTGGGTCGAAATTTCGAATTCATTCGAATACATTAGTACACGAAATTTGATTGACAGCAATGTAAATTAAATGGGGAGCATTCGAAATCGTATCAAATTTCGTATGCGTAGGCGCGTAGGGTTCACTCGAAATGTCATTGGTTCACTCACAACAAAATAACAATACCCATAAAAAGCATATTCGAATCCAAGGAACTATTATAACCATAAACTGAAATGCGCACACTAATTGTCATATCCGCCAAGAAGTGAAGTCACCGAAGACAGATGCCACAAGGGGGATTGTAGATGTTGTTTCTTTTTGTTGCTCGCTGACCTATGACGTTTTGGAAAGTTTCGTTATATTTACCCAAGGCTAATACACACTACTACTACAGGATAGCCTATCCTTATAAGGCCTGTGTGGAACAAATCTGAAGCCCCCACCCCGCCAAATCACCAGTTGTAACGAAGGTAGCATGACCTTTCGCGTCTTGACGTAGGCTGTTTGCGTTATGATTCCGCGGGCTTTTGCTATGCATATTTGGTATTACTACATTAATTAACATTCAAACAACTCTTTTTTAGATCTGGTTTTCATCTTCCTCTTGGCCTATTATGTTAATCAAATTTAAATAATATTTTTCATCATAAATTTAAATTCTAAACTATGACATCGGAAATGGTGACACACCAATATAGCGGCGATTACCAAAGAACGAGGCCGATAACCAATCCTTAGTAGGCTGCTTTATGCCTACCTGGCATATGTTCCGTATATATAATATTTTCACCAACTTCTTGCTTCTTTGCAGTGATTTGCCTGTAGACAATGTCAACGTAAACAATTGATTGTCTACGCGTAGACAATTCGAATTGTTTACGTGAGCATTTGTCTACACATTGTCTACATGCGGCGTAAACAATAACTTATTTTAAAAAATTTGAAAAAAATATAAAAAGTTACTATACTATCACTATCACTTCGATATTAGCATTCACTGATAATAAAATATCAGAAAAACCAATAATAAAATAAAAATAATTTAAGAAAAGGAAAGTGTGAGGTTAGAATTAAACGTCATTTATATTATTTTACATTGTTGACACGTTGTCTACATTGTCTACATTATCTACACGTAAAGTAGACAATGAAAGTCTACGTGTAGACGCACATCCCTGCTTCTTTGGTTTGGTGTCCCAAATATATCTGAAAAATTGTCAACTTTACGGGACATGGTTTTCCTGAATGCTGACAATTTATCTGTCACCAAAATAACCAACGTCGCAATAAAGCGTCGCAACCGCTTGTTACCGACATACCGACTATGGTGAGTCAAAGTCTATATACGGAACATAGGTATACTTGATTTTGGTTTTACTTCACATTAATTACCATTCTAAATAACTCTTTTAGATCTCGTTTCTGGTTTGCATCTTCCTCTATTGCTAATCAAAATTAAATAATAGCACTTGTTAATATAACGTCGACAATAATGCTATACATAGACTATATGACCTCGATTGGCCCGAAAATATCAATTTTCCGCACCGATACCCGTGTGGAAAATTAGTTTTCCCGCACTAGTGCGGAATAGTATATTCTATAACGTGGAGAATAAGCAAAATTCTACACGAGTGGTTTGTTCCCTGAGATGAAGGCGAGGGAACGGCTTCACGACTGTAGAATTTTGAATTACACACGTGTTATAGACTATACTTTTTCTACGACTAGAATCAAATGAAATAACCAACAACGGACCACAGACACAGATAGGAACGCCAAAAGTGATTTCGAACGCACTCCATAACTTGATCTTTTAACGATACGTCAAGTATCAACATTGTCAAATAGCGTTTTCTATTTTCCATCCTCTTTTCATCAAAAAGGCTGCAAAGTACAATAGGGATCTTCACAAAATAAAAAAATCCCGTTTAACAATCATCAAATTATTAAGCATCGTTTCTTAAGTAAATCTACAAAAATTTTACGAAAATCAGAAAATTCTTTCTATGAGAAAAACGAAGACGAAATATCAATATTTGTTTAAAAGCAAGAAACGCTCTCTCTGACGTCACAATGCGTAACGAGTTAGCGCGCGCAAGTACAGTGACTTGGATCAGCCTTTTTGTGACGTTGCTTTTGCGATTTTTGTTGGCAATAAAAAATATTAACATTATTATTACTATTAGTGTCTTTTTCTTTCATATGCATTTAGATTAAGATACTGTTGAACTAATTGGTGATTGAATGTTAGGAAGCACCCTGAGTAGTGAACTCTATTAATTGTCCAAATACTTTTTGCAATGAGCGGAAGAGAGACAAATACATTGTAGGCAATAATATCGTAAATAGTTGCAGATAAAATGTCAATAAGTACCTACATTTCTTAAACCTTATTCTATGGATTGGTCATCTAATTCGAATTTTGATTATTCCCGGCTCTTGATTCGCTCCAAATTATCCGCTATTCAATGGAATTACAGACTGGACTTATGGTTTAGGTTTCTATTTAACGAGAGAGTCTGTTTAACGTTTAACAAGTATTTTGATAGTGGTGCTATCTTCTTCGTGTTGATCTCTGTGTTAGGGCTTATCGAAATTAAGGTAGAAAAGCTACTATGGTTAAAATGGAAGAAGGTTCTCAAAAGGCCGATTTACATAATCTGCCAACTGTAAACGTTAATATGGTATCAGAATTTTTAGTCAAATTAAATGTCAAGACTTGGATCGAATCTGCCCCAGTCCAATGGAGTGAAATTTAAACAGACGTATATAAAACGTAGGTATTGAATTTGAACAGTGATATATAGTTATTTATCTACGCCAGTGAGTTAAGAAGCTCTTAACTCACGCATTTTGAGTGAGTTAAAAGCTTCTTAACTCACGCATTTTCATTACCGCACCTAGTGAGTTAAGACGCTCTTAACTCACGCATTTTGAGTGAGTTAAGAGCTTCTTAACTCACGCATTTTCATTACCGCACTCTTTCTTAGGTTTTTGAAACTGTAGTGATATCAATATTATTTACTATCAAATTGATATGAAACCATCATGCATGGTGCTATCGTGTTTTCGAATGTAATACCACAAGAGGTTTCAGGATTACCGGATAATACTTTTACCTGTCACGAAACGCGTTACGCAGCAACACCACGACTCCGAAGGAGGAGTGGTGTTGCTGGTAACGCGTTGAGTGTCAGGTAAAAGTATTAGGTAATCCTGAAACATCGAGTGGCATTCAAAAGGTTATACAACGAACTAAACTTCAATACCTTATTGACTTTTATTGGCAAATCAACAATATTGCCACCAAGCGCGATAATCCCAAGAGGCTTATCATTTGTTAAGCCTCTCGTGTCATATGGGAATAATGTAGGTACAGTAAGTTGTATAATCATGGTAATTTGGTCAAGTTATTTGAACAAAAGTTATTGAGGTAATTCAGGTAACTGGTTTTCACTATAGGTAATACAATTATTATTGAAATTAATTTTTTTGTGTTTTTAAAGTCAAGAGCGTATGGCGTAGATAAAATATTGTACAATACACGTGAGTTAACAACCCTCATTAAGATACTTGTGTGGTTACACAACTCGTGCTACGCACTCATTGTGCTTCCACACGCGTATCTTAATGATGCTGTTAACACACTTGTATCGTAAATCTATTACAGTAGGTACCACTTTTTTCGACTCGGTTTAACTTTGTTTGAGTCTCCCATCATTACACAAACACGCAGATAATAATTAGAGTGAATGAAGCTTCTTGGGATAAAGCAATAATAGTCAGCAACACATCAATAAATTAATTGTAAACTTGTAAACAAATCTCGCCAATGCGCCAGCTGATTATTCGTTCCGCACAGTGACGTCTCAAGCGCTACTCTCGCCGCAAGGGGTCGTTTTGCTAGCCTCGCTAATTTTGTTTTTATGTTTTCGATTTATTAGGAAAAATGTAGGGTTTCTGGATGTTTTAACGTTTAATACGTGTTTTGTGGACCTAGAACCACCACTTTTTATTACAATTGAAAAATAGTGAACATTCCCATTGTTCTGCACTTCTTGCTCTAGCAATTAATACAAAACGTCGATTTAAGTGATTTACTTGTATTTTATAGTATTTTTGAGGTTTTCCAAGTATTTCTGTAGTTTGCGTAGTGCAGCTGTTGTAGAAATAGATAAACTTCCGTACTCTCCTGTGCTTTCAGCTTATGATATTAGATGGCGCCACAGGTGTTCATTCCATAACAAAAGTGATGGAATGAATATTCCTGCACTAGTGAGGGAATGAAGCTATTCCGTAATCAAAAACTAAGTCGGAATGGACGAATTCTCCAATAGTCGAAGAAAAAAGTTTTTCCGCATGGATATCGGCGAGGAAAAATTTTTCCACACGGCTGTCAATAAAAAAAATTATAAATTACTACAAATTATATAGGTATACTTATTTCCGCACGTGTGTAGAAAAACTATTGTACCCAACACTTGCCGAAAATGTTTTTCCCACACTCGGCTGCTTTATCGAACCAGTGCCGGCCCGAGGCTACTTTTAGTATGGAGCGAGATCTGACTTTGGCGCCCCTAGTTTGAATGTGATTCGCATACGCGAGTATGGATTTTGACCATTACCTAATTTAATAGGTTTGTTCCAACCCGTCAAAAAAACGTCCCAGAACGGTTTCGGAACCACTCTGTATACGAATTTCGGTTTCTATGCAAACATTTTAGGTTTTGCGCAGAATCCTGACGATAATGGCTGTGTTTAACGGGACTTAGCGGGTGTTAGCGCTTGCAAGCGCTTTCCGCTAATTGACCGATAAACGACTAGTTAGCGCAAAAGCGCCTGTCAGCTTACTTAGCTCATTTGAAAATAGTTAGCTGTTGTTAGCGGCAGCGCTAATATGAAATGTCATAAATGTCTAATCTATCCTAAACCCTAACCTAACATTACATATTTTTTCTTCTGGTTTTTGGTTGATGTTGGTGGGAGCTGCTTTATTTTTGAATTTTCGACATGAATATTCAAAATTATGGAAATACCGATGTCATTAAACATTAAATTCTTATTAGCGTTTTGTTAGGTTATGTTTAGAGTTTAGAGAAAGTCTTGAAATATAAATAGGTCGTTCAACGGCTACAGTTAGCGCTTCCTGGCGCTTTCAGCGGTAGCGGGTTTACGCTAAGTCCCGTTGAACACAGCCATTATTACGGTTTCCTGTCGGGTTGGAACAAAGAAAAGCTCAATGTCTCTATTTATCTTACCAATTGAAATTTCAAAACATTTCTGTTCGTTGGTACAAAGTTCTCTTATCTACTAACATTTAGTTCACATTCTTTGATGGGATCAATCAATAATCCAGTTTAGTAATATGACTTATGGCCATTTCCACCAACTAGTTGTTTTCGGGAAGCCTTAAACGATAAGTATTCCCTAGACTGACAGTTTTCCATGAAGAAATGTCAGTTTAGGTAATTAGGTTAAAAGTTTATCGTAATAGTTTGTGGAAACGGCCATTAGGGCCGGTTTATTCACCTTCTGATAAACTGTCAGGTATGCAATCTGACCGATAAAAATGCAATCTATAATTCCATTGGTTGTTTATCTGAATATAAATAAACCGGGCCTAATAAATATAAAAATCGAACAAACAAAATACGAAATTTTCGAGTGTTTGCATACTTTTGCATTAGCAAATTTATTTATGATCTCCTCATATGACAATATATATCTGAGCGATAACATTTTCAATGGACAGCAGGGCTAGATCTGAAGGTTTCTCTTCTGCTAGAGTTGACCGCTAAGGTAAGTTTTAATTAACTTAAGCTTACTAAAGCTCTGTCCACCTTTCGGCACTGTAACAGGAATGGTAGCAAAAATACGGAGAGCTGTCCAGATATAAGGAAACGTATCTTGCCAATTGTTTAATGCTAACGCCTGAAGGACTGCTTTCGGGTGACTGTGGTCACTTACCGAAATATCGTGATCAAATGATCGGGTAAGGGCGCCACCACACCCACGATCCGTGCGCGTCTCAAAACAACGTCAGGACAGGTTATTCTCATACTAAGTAAGCACAAGCTTGCTCACAAGCAGAGAAGCCAAATATCGAAAAGCAGAGACAGAATTCAAAGCGAAAATATACTTTTCCCTTTTTTTTTTATTACCAAGGAACGAGTCGAAGGCGTCCCCCGAGGTCTGGCGCCTGGAGCGCTCGCTCAGTTCGCCTTATGGTAGGGCCGGCCCTGTATCGAACTCCGCTACGCGTTATTCGGTGAACGGCAGACTCGTGCGGAAAAATTCATACATACGTACAGCCAAAATCGCCGAAGATTCTGTGAAACTGATGTACCATCATCACCAAAAGTAACTGGGACAGCATCACATTAGCTCTTGTCCTATTATATGAATTTTATTGTCAAATATTTGTCAAACTATGATTCAAATGCATTGAAATGAATGACAGTAGCATTAGTCCAGGAGATTATTATGCATTATTTGTGTCCCAGATACTTTTGGTGACGATGGTACACTTCCCACACTACTACTAAAGGATAGCCTATCCTCATAAGGCCTGTGTGTGAAAAATCCCCCCTTCCATCCAAAACAAATCACCAGTTGTGACGTCGCAGCATGTCCTTTTTTTCTCGGATGGACGTGGGCTGTTTGCGCTACAGGTTATGATTCCGCGGGCTTTTGCTTCATGCATAGTTGGTTTCCCTACATTAATTAACATTCTGAAACAACTCTTTTTCAGATCTTGTTCTCACTTTCTTCTTTGCCTATTATGTTAATCAAAATTGTGCGAATTTTAAGGTGCTCCACACCCGTAGCTTCACACTCTGATGTTCCAAACAATAGGTTTATCAATGGAACTTGGAACCATAGCTGGAATACACCCTACTTTAAGGGTCGTGTTTATGATGCACCCATAAAAATGCTGGAGCTTGAGAGGGCAGGGGAGAGAAAAAACAAACAGTTCAGTTGCGCGAAACTCTAATACACTGGAACGCCTATAAACAGTCCGGGGCGCTCTAGAGCAGCTTAGGAGAGCTTAAAATGCGTCACTGGAAAGCGACCCGTGGTACAGTGACTAAATAAACCTTTACATACAGTGGCGACAATAGAGGTCCCGCGCCATTTTGTTCCCAGCCTCTTGTTACCATATAGCTTGTTACTTTTAAATATTATATATAGGATTTAGGGCGGGTATTATAAAACTGCTTTGACAGTTAACTTGAAGTTAACTTTTTGAATTACATGTTATTCCAGAAGTTAACTTTAAGTTAACTCTCAGAGTAGCTTTATAATACCCACCCTTAAATGGACATCTATAATAAAAAATTGAAATCGACGTATTTGATGACTCAGGGCCCAATTGATGACTATTATTAGGTCCATCAAATACGTTGTTTTCCATGTTTTATGGATGTTCACCCAAATCCCATATATTCATATTTGAAATAAGCAATAGGTGGGAACAAGATGGCCGCGTTTTCAATATGAATATATGGGATTTTAGATAGAACCAATCAAAAATAAGACAGCAATTGTCGCCACTGTGGGTAATAGAGTCACTGTAACCCGTGGCACAAAGCAGGAAAGTGCGCTGCTCCATGCTCCATAGTCCATGCGAGATTTGGGGAGAGCGTTCAAGTCGAACACGTGAATCCCGCCGAGAGAAATACTCCGTTTTAAGCCGAACATGTAAATCCGTTTCGGATCGCTTTTTGATCAGTCGGGTGAAATTTTGAGCCATAAGTCGAAAGCGCTATTTATAACAAAACGTGCTCTGTAATCACCCTGTAATACCTACCTAACCTCACTTTTTTTTACTTGATGGATTTTTCCCAAGGATGTTTCGGATTTTCCACTTATCCCAGTGTTGTTGATTTGTTGATACTAACTGATTGCTGATTTATTGAATCCTATCTTATTTGTGCTAGTTGTGCTCTAAATCCAGTTTATTCAGCCTTTCAAAATGACTTCTTTTGAATTTAAATGGACTAAAAACAAGAAACCAGAGGGCAGTAAGGTAATTAAACTGAAAAATACAAAAAGGAAACCTATTCCAATTAAAAATCCAAGTGAAGATCAGGAAAAACCAAAAGCAAAAAATATAGAAATTAATAGAAATATAATAAAACCACAATTCAAAGAAGTTGAGCAAGTTGTATTTGATAATAACCCCACAAGTTTTATTAAACGAAAAGGGAAAAAGGATAAATTGAAAAACAACAATAATCAAGACAGTCTCGCTGGTAATAAAGTAGAAATATCAACAGCCAAGCATCATTCATTGTTTTCCGAAAAGTACAAAAATGTTCATATAAACCCAAATGTTAGAGGCGCATCAGTTGTAGAGAAAGTTTTCAGTGCCGGTAATCAATTCGGTGAACTCAATATTCACAAACATATTATTTCTAATCTTGAAAAACATAAATACACTCTTTTGACTAATGTACAAGAAAAAGCAATCCCAGAAGTCTTATCAGGAAAAAATTGTTTGGTAAGGAATTTTCAAGTTTTAATAACATATTTAGGTACAATACAATTTTTTTAATTAAAGATAAGGTCTCAAACAGGATCAGGAAAGACTCTTACCTATGCAGTACCGATTCTCAATACACTCGTGAACATAACGCCCAAACTTCAAAGGACAGATGGTGTTCAGGCCATTGTTGTGGTGCCCACTAGGGAACTTGCTTTGCAGACTCATGAATTGTTTAATAAATTGAATGTAAGTATTTACTTATAAGTAATAGCAGCTTGATTTGTTTGTTTCATGAACAAGTGTTCATCTGCAATAAAAACTTGATCATCAGAGTCGCAATTATCTGATCTCTAGATTAACCAAGTCAATCTAAAGATCCAAAGACCTTGATTATCAGAGGTACGCGTGTCTATGCTCTGTATTAACCAAACTTCTAAAATATACATATACACAATGTACAGGGTGATCCAGTATAAAGTGAACACCCCCTACCTTTTCACAAAAAAATTTTTTTTTGAAAAAATCAAGATAGCCATTTGTTGTATTTTTTTTCTAGGAATTTGAAAACGTTTTTGGAAATTTAATTAGATTTTTCGTTGAAGTGCTGTGATCAAAAAAGTAATTTTTTTAAATGGAATAACCCTCGGAATAACCTATATTTAAATCCATTTTTTGAACGACCCTATTTTTCTCATTTCAAATATATATAGTTTGTTTATCTTTATCTTAGTAATTTGCGGTATATTCCCACTCAAGATTCAAATAAAAATAGCCGAAAAGGTATCAAGGTAAATCTGAATAATTTTACCTTTAATAAAACTACTGGTTACCTATTATGTTTTATGATACCTTTTCGGCTATTTTTATGTGAATTTTAGAGTGAGAATATATAGCAAATTACTAAAATAAAGATAAATTAACTATATATTTGAAATGAGAAAAATAGGGGTGTTTAAATAATTGATTTAAATATAGGTTATTCCATTTAAAAAAAATACTTTTTTGGTCACAGCGCTTCAACGAAAAATCTAATTAAATTTCGAAAAACATTTTCAAATTCCTAGAAAAAAAATACACAAAATGGCTATCTTGATTTTTTCAAAAATAATTTTTTTACCGAAAAGGTACGGAGTGTTCACTTTATACTGGATCACCCTGTACAGTGTGGTCAATTTATCTTAAAACATTTCAAATTGTCATAATTTCTTTATTTTTGAAGTTATATTTAAATAAATAGAAAAACGAACTGTAGGGTTGTTTTCCAAGTTTTAGAAAGGATGGACAAAAAACAAAAGTTTTTCTTTTAGTTTTATTTCCCAGAAGAAATTTCTTCCAGAAAATTGATTTATTTCTCTCAAATCTTATATCTAATACTTGATCTAGTAATTGTACATAAGTTATTTAAATTAGTTTTACTGAATATTACTCTGTTTTTTTTTTTACAAGCATCTATACCATTTCCAGCATTATTTCACACTAGTGAAATTGTATTTCAAATTAATGAAAACTAAATTCACATCAGTGAAATCTAATTTCGCTCAAATGAAAACTGATTTCAAAGTAACGAAAACTAATTTCTCATAATCGAAAAATTTGATTTCACATTTTCGAAAATAAATTTCAAACTAACCCTCACTTTTCAAACAATTATTATTTTATTTTGAAAAAAAATCAACATCGTTATTTATTTCAATCTAATGAAATAAACCCACTGAGTTTATATAGATAACATAAAATACAATCATGAACCAACAATATTAATTTTAAATTATTTAAATAAATTGAACTTCAATTGAGTCTTCTCACTCTTAAGACAGCTGCATTATACCTTTCCACATGATTTGCAAAACTGAAGACAAATTTATTTATGGACGACCCACACTGTAAGAGCTTATTACGTAACTCATATTAGTATGTTTGAGTTACGTAATAGATTGTATTATTGTACTTAGTGATGTAATAAGTTCATAACGAAACTCATTACCATTGAAAAACGGCACTTTTTAAAATTACTTTATTCGGAAAAATTATAAATTTAGTCTATTGTAAAAAATTAAAACTATTTCGAATACATACAAAAAAATCTCGGTCGTACATAAAATGTTGTATATCACACGTACGGTAACGCTCATTACACCACTCGTGTGATTACCACAACTCGGTCTATGACCTCGTCTTGGCAATATTCCCCACTCGTTACTGTAATGAAGCTGATACCGCACTAGTGATATAACTAACTATTAAATAATTCAAAATTATTATTGTTGTTTCATGATTGTATTTAATGTAATCTTAACTCAGTGGGTTTATTTCATTAGGTTGAAAGAAATAACGATGTTGATGTTTTTTTCAGAATAATAATTGTTTGAAAAGTGAGGGTCAGTTTGAAATTTATTTTCGAAAATGTGAAATCAAATTTCGTTTATGAGAAATTAGTTTTCGTTACTTTGAAATCAGTTTTCATTTGAGCGAAATCAGATTTCACTGATGTGAATTTAGTTTTCATTAATTTGAAATCCAATTTCACTAGTGTGAAATAATCCTGGAAATGGAATAGATCAAGACCTAGATGTAAAACATCTGTATGTGCAGTATCGTTTAGCAGTGTTTTTTTTTTGTATTTGTAATTTTTATAATTTAAGTTTGCATTAAGAATTATGAGCAAGAGAGAGAAAAAAATTTCAGACAAGATAGAACCCGCCTTAGATCCCCTCAGTTATCTTAGCCATTCACACATCGATGAAACATTCACTTTAACAGAAACAACTGTAGAGGAACTTAAAATCATAATCAGAGACATAAAAAATAAAAACTCTGCTGGAATAGACGAGATGTCTGTCAAAATCTTTCAAAACTTAAATGATAATATTCTCTATGTGCTGTCACAGGCCATCAACAAATGTTTTGAGGTTGGTGAATTCCCCGACTCACTTAAGGTTGCCTTGGTGGTCCCCATACATAAAGGTGGCTCCTTCAAGGACCCAGCTAACTTTAGACCCATTTCACTTTTAAATACCCTGTCAAAAATAGTGGAGAAGGTGGTGAAGAATAGACTGACTGTGTTTTTATCACGTAACAATATAATTAGCGATTGTCAATTTGGATTTCAGTCATCTAAAAGTACTAGTGATGCTGTATTCTGTTTCCTGGAGCAATTGTATTTGAAACTGAACAATAGAGAGGTTGCAGCTGCGGTTTTCTGCGATCTCTCTAAAGCGTTCGATTGCGTTAGACATGACATACTCTTGAATAAAATGTATATTTATGGAATTCGGGACACTTCATTGAAATTCTTTACCTCATATTTATCAAAAAGGACCCAAATGGTTAATAACAGGAGTTCCATATCGTCAGCCTTAGCAATTGACACAGGAGTTCCACAAGGTTCTGTCCTGGGACCTATTTTGTTTTTGATGTATGTTAATGACCTTTTTGAATTACCACTTGAGTGTATGTTCACTGGTTTTGCTGACGATATTACGCCCCTTTGGCACCATAAGGACCCACTGCTCTTGAAAGAGATTGTTTCTAATGACCTCCATCAAATAAAAGCATGGTGTGATTCAAATTTTCTAAGTTTTAATATTGAAAAAACCAAAGTTCTCAGTTTTAAATTTACATTTGATAATCTTCAACTTGGAAATCAGTCAATCGGTCTCAGTCAGGATACTAAATTTCTTGGAATTAATATTGACTGCAATTTAAAATTTTTCCAGCATATAATCAACTTAAATAAAAAAATTGCAGCGGGAGGCTATGCTGTACGCCAAACGTGCTATGAATTGGGTCAGTCTATGGCTAAGGCCACTTATTTTGCTCTTGTTGAGTCCCACTTGCGCTATGGAATTGCTTTTTGGGGGAACTGCAGTAAGTGTTTGTTTCAATCAGTGTTTACTCTTCAGAAACGTTCTGTTAGGTATATTTTTGGAGCAGGTCTCAGAGATCACTGCCGAGAATTATTTAGGAGGGGGGGAATGTTAACCTTAGTGGATCTCTTTATCTTAGAGACTGTCTGTTTAGTTCACAAGAGGTACCAGGGTACTACACATGCGCACTCCTATCCAACAAGGAACTACAACCTGATACCTTTGCCTATACCAAGGTTCTCTCTAACTCAGGATTCTCTGATTTATAAAAGTATACAAATGTACAATAAATTACCATTAAATTTAAGAACGGATCAAAATTATAAATCTTTTAGAAATAAGGTTAAAAGTTTATTGGCAGATAAAACATTTTATTCTCTTGACGAGTATTTTGATGACAACCTTTAACAGGATCTTGTGTCTGTATCGTGATGTAAGTGTCTAAAACTCAACTTTATGTTTTATGTTTTGTACTACTTGTAGGACAGGGTCTACCTGATTTAGTAATAGATTCACAATGCCATAATAACTGATGTGTTCTAAATTTTAAAAATGTTACAAATTTACTAATAAGTACTGAATTTTTCTTTTATTGTTAGTCATTTTACCACTTGCTAGTGCCACTGCTGTAGTGTCTTTTTTACTTGTTATCTGTTCTTATATTTTATATTATTAAGGATGTTGCTTTGTCAATAGAATGTACTATAATTTTCTGACAATAAAGCATATTTGAAATTTGAAAGAAAAAACAAAGTACCTAATAGTTTACCTACAGAAAATAGTAACACTTTATATATTGATTGGTTTTACAAATTATCAATTCCACACTCAGACAACAAAGTCTGCAAAACAAACAACAAACAGTACACTGAGCTAAAAAACCTTTCAAATTGATGAAGACTCTCATAAATTACATTTTACTTTAAAATTTTAAAACTTCTTATTGAAGAGCAGTTTCTTACTTCCTGTGGCAATAGGTTGTACAGTTTAGGGCCAAAATAATTTATACAGGGTGTTTGGTAGGTCGATGCATATATTTTGGGAGGTGATAGAGCAATAGTCATTTAGAACCTATTTAGACAAACTTACCTTAGTACCAAGTCTTATGGTTTTCAAAATATGGCCGATTTAATTTTTTCTTAAACAAATCCTTTGTTCGGCGCTTCAATGCAATATTCAGTAACAACATCACAAATAATCACAAAAATTAGCCAAACAATAAACAAGCTGTTCACTTATTTCAGTCTAAAAGTGAACATTTTGTTTGTAAAAAGAAGAAAAATAGGGCTAGTCCAGTTTTTTTCGCGAATACCTACTAATTTTTGGGAATCTGTAGTCTTGAAAGATTTTTGTGCTGCAATCCAAAGAAAAATGTAATTTTTTTGTGGTATGTGCAATTCGAAAAGGCACATGTGACAAAAAAACCTTGGTTGTCCTTATTTTATCCTATTTTTTTTTCTGAAAAAACTTAACAATGGAATTAATATGACTTTAAAATGGCACTCTTATTGTTAATTTTTTATTTATTTTATTGTTAATGCATTTAACACAAGAAATAGGCATTCCTTGAAGACACAAAATAAAAATAATTGAGACAGCATTTCTCAATATCGCCCAACCAAGGATTTGTGAGATTATTTTAAGAAAAAATTAAATCGGCCATATTTTGAAAACCATAAGACTTGGTACTAAGGTAAGTTTGACTGAATAGGTTCATGATTTACTCTATCACCTCCCAAAATATATGCAGCGACCTACCAAACACCCTGTATATCTTAGATTAAGATTATTGGCAGTTTAATTTGCCTGTCGGACCTCGATCTTGTTTCATGAGTCAAATTCAAATTCTTTATTGGTGCTATTACACAAACACAGTGTTTACACAAGTCACAAAAATAAGGTAAATGCACCAGTTATTGACAGTGCTCCAGTAATTGACAAGTAAAGGTAAATATTATCAAAACAAGCTAACTCGACGTCTTAGAGCTATTTTCAATAAAAAACTGCATTAATACAGTATTTGCTCGGGTATTTGGCAATACTCTATCAGCTATGAAGGAAATCAGATGATATCTGCCAGTTATTTAATAGTAGATTATACCACGAGTCAATAATGATAGCTATTATTCCCGAGGAATATTTACGAACTGAGTAACATTCCGAGGCAATAATAGCCATTATTGCGAGTAGTATACTCTACTTTATTTACGACAAATTAATTTATTTGAAATTTTCTTTCCAAAAAGGCTCTCTGTTCATTCATTTCAATACAAATACACAAGCGCTATGCCACAAACCACTACGCGTTTGACTTGACACTGTCACTTTTCAGTTTGTTCAATTGTTTCGACGGTACTACTTATTTAATTTGAGAAATTTTGTGATTGGTCTGCAAGCGGGAATAATGACCATTAATCCCTGCGGGAATAATATAAAGCATTATACTGCCAAAATCACAAATATAATACTTACATTATATCGGGTCTTCAAAAAAAAAAACAATCAAAGATTGCTATGGTTTTTTAAACGTATGTCTTAGCAATAGTTTCCTTTAATTTTGTCAATGAACTTCAATGTCAAAATGTCATGTCAAAAATCCTGACCAATAAAGAAACAGTAATACGACGTACGTTTTCGTAATCAAAGCAATCTTCGATTGTTTTTTTTTTTGAAGACCCGATATGTCAGTAGTAAATAAAAATGTGAAAAGGCTGGTTACCTGTCGGATGAGAAAAATTAAGAGATTTGTTAAGGCAAACAAATAAAATATTATTTTTTATTGCTAAATGTATCTATGTTTAATTTATTCCATATGTTTGAGGGCAGAGTTTAAGTATGGATAAAAGGTTTTTTAATGTGTATTTATTAGTAAAACCTCGGTAAAACACGTTATCTGAGATTGGTGTGGGTGTCAAAGACTGGATCAAGTGATTATGACAATGTACCAATTATTGACTGATTTGTCAATGAATGGATTTCTTACGCCCGAATGCACCATTTGTTGATTCTAATAATCCTAGTTCCCCAATCCCGTTTTTGTAAACTTTGGCCCAAAGCTATGCACCGTCAGCGGATTAACTAATCCGGAGTGGAAGTTTCGTAACGTTGGCATCCCAAGAGTTTTTAGGTCTGTTCCCACAGGAGTCTCCGACAGTTTGCAACCTGTCAGAAACAATCGCTCAGCTGAGTTACAGATTGATCTTGGAACGACAGCATTGAAAACATGTATGGGCGATTCTTACTGACAGTTTGCAAACTGTCAGAGACTCCTGTGGGAACAGACCCTTTGACACTTTAAGGGTCAATTACCGTTAGAATATTGTCAGTTGTCAGTTTCGAATTTCGATTTTTACTAGATTTTTATAAGATTTATATGATGAAAACACTAAAATAATCCCCCACTTTTCCCTGAGAGAAAGGCAGAGTGTCATGACTCATGAGCATACTTTCAAAATTCGCTTATTTCATCGAAAACAAAAAAACAAAGTTTTCAATGTCGGAAAGTCTCAAGCTTAGAACCGATTCACAGGAGAATTCAATAGCACTGCACCGAGCACTGCACTTATACTCTGCCATAGGAACGTCGAGCAGTTAGAAAGGCTATATACAGTAGTTATATTATTATTAACTTTATCTGTTTTATGTGTGGTTGTTATACCACTTATTATTTTATTATTATCTGTGGCTGTTATACCACTAGCCACTACACCTCAAATCGCCAAAAAAGTGCTTATGTAGTACTGATGATGTGATTTCTTTCCAAATGATGCTTTAGCCTCTATCAATGACATATTTTTTCTATCACTTATCAGCTGGGTTAGTTAAATGAACAGGGGGCTACAAGTATGATAACGGGTCTTCAAAAAAAAAACAAATCAAAGATTGCTATGGTTTTTTAAATGTACGTCGCATTATTGTTTCGTATTGGTCAGGATTTTTGATGTGTCATTTTGACATTTAAGTTCATTGCCAAATTCAAGAAAAAAAATTCTTAAGAAACCATAGCAATCTTTGATTGTTTTTTCTTTTTTTTTTTTGATGTCCCGTTACTTATAAAGGACTTTGAAATGCCTAGTGTCTCCCATGTTACTAAATTTTTAATGGCTCCTGGTTTCAGCAAAAACTAGCTCTAAGACCTCTAACCCAGGCTAGACAGGACTCTGTCCAAGCCACATCCAAATAAATAATAAAAGTAACAATTTTAATTTGGAAATACAAATCAGTCTTTTTTTTTAGACATTTCAATGGATTATCATAGGTCAGATATGTGGAGGCGAAAATAGGAAAACTGAAAAAGACAAATTGAGAAGAGGAGTTCATGTTTTAATTGGAACACCCGGAAGGCTTCTGGACCACATGCTTCATACTGCTGCATTTAATGTCAAACATGTTAGGTGTCTAGTACTAGATGAGGCTGATCGACTTTTGGATATGGGTTTCAAAAAGGATATTGTAAGGTACAATCTAGAAAAAAATGTCCAATACACTTTTTGTTTTTTATGAATTCTCTAAATAGATTAGTTGAAGAAATTGACAGTCACAAAGGAAATTCTTCCTATGATCCCTTAGCTATGTTGAAAGGGCAAAAAGCTTCAAAAACTAATGAAGAAAAGACCACACAAAATGATGAAAGACAAACTCTTTTATTATCAGCAACATTAACTAAAGGCATAGCTGAATTAGCAGATTTTACTATGAAAAAGCATGTATACATTGATGCTCTAGATGAATCAGCAACAACAAATCCAGATCATATGATTATACCAAACACCGTAAAACAAGAATATATTCTTACCTTTGTCAAGCATCGCTTAGTAACTCTGTCAGCCTTCCTGGTATCTAAAGCAAAAGAAAATAGTAAAACGTTTGTTTTTATGGCTACTACTCAAATGGTGGACTTTCATTATGAATTATTCACGAAATATTTACTTAAAATGCCAATAAATAAGGGAAAACTGAAAAATGGAGATGTTTTATTGCTGGACGAGGAGGACGATAGTGATGACGAAATGCAAGCATTGGATATGGAAATATTCAAGTTGCACGGTTCTATGACTCAACAGGAGAGAAAAGCCGTTTTTAATGGTTTCAGAAAAGCTGAGAAGGGAATTTTGTTATGTACTGTAAGTATAAATCCAATAACTTTGCTAAGTATTCCATTATTTTGTTTCTTTGTTCAAAAATGTGGTTCAGATCAGACTGCTTCAGGCAGTACTCCTGTATAGTATGAAATTTCCAAATTTCCAGAAAAATATTTTTTGTTAAAATATTCTCAAGGACAGAGTAGGTTACACAGAAAACTACATTTAATTATTATCGAGATTATTATGCAAAGAGCGGAGTTCAACAACTGTGTGAAGAAAACCTTTTTCCACGAATGTGAATTTTGACTTACAAGCCGCAGGCAACAGGCCAGTGCGACAATCACATGAGTGAAAAAAGAGGCTTCACACACATGTTACATAAAAAGGTTTTTTCTACTACTGACAATATCTAAATATATAGTTAAAAAAAAAATATATATATATATATATATATATCCTCACTTTACGCCCTAGTGTCTAGAGTGCCATAACCTAGGGTGTTAAGTAAATAGTACGTATATACATATCACATTTTTAATGCAAAAAAGTGCAGCAAACGCTTTATAATATTGTCACGGATTCCAGGGTTCACTAAAACTCGTTTCACAAGCAGTACCTAACAACTTTTATTAAACTAATTAAGTTTAATCAGAGTATCTGGATGACCAGTTTTAACGTTCATTTCAGCAGAGCTTTTCATCAAAAAGTCTACCTAGGTTTTAGTCTTAATCTTAAGTTTAATTTGTTTCTGTGCTTGACTTGTGTATGTGCTACTAATTCAGTAGTAGTAGTAAACAATATTTATTGAACTAATTGTTCAAAGGGCCATCGACCGAGGTCTTTCAGCCTTTGATATCTACAATTTCATATGTATTTACAAAATTTGTATAAGTATGAAACAGATAAATCCACATGCGATGGAGAAAAGAAAAAAAAAAAAAAAAAAATTAAATGAACAATGCAAGTACGTACAACCATAGATTTACACAATTACCTATGTACTTATGTTAGCTTTTTATAGTCTATTATTTTGTATAATTTGGAAAACAGTTTCTTCTGGATATTGTCTTTTCCTGATAAGGCCTTGTGGAATTTCCAAAATGAATGGACTGATTATCGCTATGTTGGATGGTCTGCTGCCAAACTTCTCGGTAAGACTTTGAAATCTTTGAATGATTGGTTCAATTTCAGTTTCTTGATACAACATTTCATTTGATGGATTATGAAGCGGGTTTGTAGGATGTCTGATTTTTGTAATTTTACGGAGACTAGTTCTTTCTGCAGTTTCTATTATCTGGATGGCAGGTCCTCTACAAGCACTGAAAATTATCTGTCCGTATTCCAAAATTGGTCTGCATATTGTTGTGTAGATGTGACATGCAGTTTTGATGTTAATACCTTCGTCCTTGTATGTAAGGTTTCTAAAATGCTTGCTCCTTATTATTGTCTTTTTCTTCATCGTTGACAGGTGATATTTGAAATTTAATTTATTGTCGAAATGGATACCCAAGTATTTGATGTGAGATTGAGGGAGTATTTGGTGGTTGAGAATATCTAGTTTTGGTGAAGCATCACTGATCTTGTGATGAAATATTATAAATTGCGATTTTTCAGGATTCACTTTTAGTTTCCACCTATCTAACCAGACAATCACACTGTTAAGTGCTATTTGTAGAGATTGAACAGCTTGGGATATATTCTTGTTATTATATAATAGCTGTATCGTCTGCAAATTGTATGATATATGGACTTGCAACTGTAACCTGGTTTGTTGGAGGGAAGATGTCGGGACAATAAATATTATAGAGCAATGGCGACGGTGATGATCCCTGTGGTGTTCCCTGCTCATTAGAAAATGGGTATGAAAGGCTTCCGGCTTTCGAAATCTTCAATTGTATTTTAGAATAGTCATTTGTATTTAAGAAATCCCCAAATATTGGAATAAATGATTTTATGTCCGATTGACCAATAAAGTGCGATTTATAGAACAGTTTTTCGTCAATAACGTAGCACTTTATTGTACTAGTAAAATAAAGTGCTTCTTTATTTTACTAGTAAAATAAAGTGCTACTTTATTGCCTACCTGGACTACCTGACATGGTGAAACAGGTCTTGACAACCTGCCAAGGTGAAACAGGTCCTGACAACCTGCCAAGGTGAAACAGGTATACCTACGCGAATTTTAGTTTTTTCATTCAATTTTTTTAATTTTTAACAAAAGCCAGTCGGAACCGTACATAAAATCATGTATATAACGCTTACATAAACAGGCTTTATTGACTCATTATTTAATAGCCTCGCTCGCAAGCTCGCTCGGCCATAAAATTATTCCTTATATAGCCTTACTTTATGTACTTGTTATATAAATAGCTAATATAAAGCCTGTTTTTTTTTTTTTTTAAAGATAAAAGTCAAAATGACATTATGTTGGCAATACAATGTAAAATTGTCAATGCTTTCAAATTTTTTATGTAGAAAAGGCTTGTGTTGCCAACATAGTTACTAAATTTTTGACTTGGGGAATTATCTTTAAAAAAAAAAAACAGATTTTAGAATTTTTAATACCTATTTAGAAGTACCTGTCGTTTTAGTGACAAAACGTATGTCGCTTCTCGACACACAAATACAATAAGGTTAGGAATTTCCTATTAGTAGATGAAATTGACGTATTAGCAATCGACGTTCGTTTTTGTTGGTAGTTTTTTGTTTCATCTGATTCGTGACTGATAAATAAGGATGAGGTTATTCTAAATGGGTACTACAAATACTTTATTTAAAAAAGCATCATTAGTATTTTGGAACCACTTACATTTGGAAATGCGCTTCAAATGTAGTTTAGAAAAACTAAATTAATTTAAGAAAGCTGCAAATAAATTTTTGAATTACTTACCAATGTTAACTCAGGAAATCTTCATTTGTATTTTAGATCAAACCATATGTATTCAAGAAATTTTCAATCGTAGTTTAGAATTAAGAAATATTTCTCTACATCTATTACTGGCTGATTTCTTCAAAATTCCGCTCTTATGCCAAATACGTGACAAGAAATGTCCATCTCTGTAAGTATTTATACATACCTACATGCTCGCCTACATGTGTTCTGAAGTTCAATTTATCGTTTCTTAAATTAAAACGATTGTTTCTAAAATTCATAAAATATGGTGTTTCTAAAATACAATTGGTTCAATCTGAAATACAAGGCTTTTCTAAAATACATTGGCAATTATCCAAAATACAATTCTCACTTCTAAAATACTTTTGAATATTTTCGCAAATACATTGGAAAAATCTAAAATACCTAATGTCTGCCCAGCGAATCTGTGTCTACGGGGCAATGGTAAGGGGAATGCAGTTGTAAAAAGAAATGGCTGATTTCATTCATAAAATACCCAGCTGCGTGCGGAACTTTTTGGTAGCGTTATCGTATTGCAACTCGTACACGAAAATCGACAATGACCAAACCTCCGCCACTGGATATTTCAACATAAATCGATATTCCAAGATGGGAGGATAAGATGACGTGAGCCCTGGCCAATAGCAAGACGTAAGGTGACGTTAGCTGATTGACAACCGTATGCTTCCCCATGGCAACGGCGATCCTGCCAAAAAGTCCACCAATCAGGTTCATCCAGGTCGGATGCTTGCCAAATTGTCAAAAGCTGATGGTATCTTTAGAAAATGTTTATTTTAACAAAAAACCAAATTGAAGAAATCAGGATTAAAAGAAGAATAGATCTTACAGCCACGTTAAAATATTTAGCGTTTTATTATTGTTAATTGTTATCAATATTTTATTAAAAAATGAATTTTCAAATGAACTATACTTCATGCCTAGTATTTTCGCTTTTTTATAATCAAACGTGACAACATGGCACATTTACGTCCGAATTCCTTCCGTAGACTCAGATCCGCTGGGCAAACAATACATATGGATTTTTCTGAAATGCAAATGTTTATTCTAAAATACAAATGATACTTTCTTCAATAATAATAATAATAATTATAAAAATAAGAGGTAATAAAAGATTTTTAAGTAAATTACATTTACTTAAAAATCTTTTATTAGATTATAAATTTTCACCTAGTAGAAGCCAATTCAATACAAAATAATAAATGTCTTTTTCTCCAAACGTCAGAAAAACGTCACTTTGTTAACCCTTGTCAAGATGTCAGAAATTTGATTTCTATGCTGCTAGGCTAATCCAGTGGGTAATACCTGTCGAGGTGGTAGAAATTTAATTTATATGCTGCTTGGCAACCCCAGCGGCAGCAAAAGTACTTTTAGTGCCGCTCGTACTTTTGCTGCCGCTCAACCATTCACTTGCCCCCGAGCTTACCCCATTCGTTTGGAGAAAAAATAGCGTGTTGCATACGGAGTAGAAGCACTTTTTTGTGCTTCAGCAGTATTGCAAGCCTCACTACGTTCGGCTCGCAAACCTACCGCTTCAGCACAAAAAAGTAAAGCTTCTACTCCTAATACAACAATATACTATTATTAAGTAAAAGCTCATTAGAATATTACAAAAAAATTACATTTTGATGAGGCATGAAATAAGTCCAAAAAAACTACATAGTAAATATAAGGGCGAGATTCAGCTCACCACCCTAATGTTTAGTTAGGGTGGTGTCTGCTCTTCCACCCAAGTAGATTAAACATGAGTAACCTAGAATAACTTAATTTGCACAGTTATTACAGAGGGAAAAAAAATTATGAAAGAATCCCAGCATAAACATGTACCACACACGGTACATGTGGTATGTACTACCATTGTATAAAAAGGCTCTTTATACAGTGGTACTACCTAGGAAAAAAAAATAACTTCAGTTACCTATTTGACCCAAATTAATTTATACCTGGCACTGTTTGTCAAATAATATTTGGAACAGTTGTTTTTTAAATTTAAATTTGTTATTTAGGTTTATTCATTTACTTGGTATGTTGTTATATGTGTTAGCGATTTGGCATGAATGAACATTTGAGAGTTATGCCGTGGTGGTGTTAGTCTCCCCCTAAAGCGTACATTCTAAGCGCCTATAGC